GCAGATCCCATCCATGGTTTAGTCGCTCCTGTAAAATAGCGTAACGCTATAAGCAGGAGTGCTACCAGGCCTGGGCTGACGCATCAACGTCCCAGGATGTAAGCACCAGCGCCCTTAAAAAGATTCATAGGACGATTCACTGGCCCATGCCGCAAAGAAGAAAGCCGATCTGCTAGGCTCTTTCTTTGCGTCCAACTTGACTCACGATGACGGGGAGAGCACACCGCCGACCATCCCGCGATTAGCCAAGCACTCCACTCCCTGGATATCCACAAGTCTAGTGGGCCTGATGGAACCCCCGTCCTCCACAATTGTGTTGAGGACGTTTGCTCCAGAGTTGGCACAGCTTCTAATGCGTCTTTTACTATACTCCTACTTCCTATGTGTAGTCACGAATTCATGGCATGACTGGAGCCGACTAAATCTAGTCCAGTTTAATCCCTAGAAGACACAAATTTGCGCATTTACCGCTTAAAAGCACCCTCAGTTTCAAGGTACTCACTCCCCTTGTTGCCTCAGCCAGTATCAGAATCCTCAGCGTTGACATATCTAATGATGTGTAGTTCCGTGGTCACTTGGTAGAGAAGGCCAAATTGGCCTCTGAAAAGCTTGGCGTGATCAACAGAGCGGGACAATACTGTTCCCATTTCTGGGCTGGGGCTCTCCTGTACCAGCTCCTTCTACTTGACCACATCTAGCGTAGAGCGGCTCGAATCGTCAACGACTGAGTCGTCTCCGATCGGCTCGATTCACTGACGCTGCGAACAGATGTTGCATTTTCTTTCGTTTGGTTCGGATTAATATCAGCTGTCAAATTTCACGAACGCACATCGCGGTAAAACTCTCGAAACCATTCACAGCATCTTGATGCTTGGCGATCCATTACTATACGTTTTACTAGGAGTTTTCCTCCTTGTACGACCTCTCCCTGGAATAGTTTACCACCGGGCATTTTTCCGGACCGATACGACTTAGGGACCTTCAAGAAAAGAGCTTTCCAGCAACGCACCTGCTATTTCCCTGGTTTCGCAGTTGTTCATGTGGGCGGCGGTAGTCACTTAACATCAGGTGAGCCGTATGCCCGTTTGCTCATTCTCCTATAAAAAGCAGCCCGGAATTTGAAATTTGGCGGCGTTTCACCCCCTTGTCTAGGAACGCAAGTCAAGCCATTGGTCCTGCGCATGATTTCTCTCCGGAAGTATCAGGTAACCTTCCCATCATGAGTATAAGGATGTAAACTGTTTATAGAGAAGATATAGAGAGGAGAAGTGCACTATATAACCTTCTGCTGCATAAATAGCTAGTGTTTGTAAGTCTTCCGCCGTAACCGAAATTGAGTCTGAATGATATTATTAATTAAGAGGGAGTGAAATCTCATGTCTCATGTTAATTTATACTACCTACTATCCTATTATGTACTCTTGATGTTATGCTTAGTGTGTCTAGTAGATTGTCTCGTTGTACTAGTCAAGGTTCTGGGTTTGAAATCCTGGCCGGGCCACAATCATTTATTGCGTTTTTCTGTCAAAAAAAATTTCAGTAACTGTCCGTAGTCAGGAAATTGGCGATGTTTTATCCTCTGATAGCTATCCGATTGTGTCGGATGGCCGCCCAATCGGACTATGAGAGTGAGGGAATAAAGAAATCACCTGTGCTTGCACACTCTCGAGCACTATAATCCGATAAATCCGAAAATAACCCTGTGGTTGCACATTATATTTAATCGCTCGAACGGTTGGGATTATCAGTGTTGCCAACTGTTAAACTAGCTCTTCACTAGATTCAGCTTCTAAAAACCACCAGTAAACCACTAACAAAAAGCGACAATACTCAAATAATCCCAAAATTTTCCACTAAACAAATTTTTGTTTATTACAAAAGAAAACAATAGGTATGTTAGTAATTGGTTACCTTTATTATTACATACTGTATAACAAAATATTATTTTTTTATGTAAATAATCAACAAATCAACATAAAAATAATAAATCAACATGTCAATATCAAGAATATAATTATTATTTATTCAAATACTATTTTAAATTAATTCGCCTTCTACAGATTTTTTTATTTTTATTTTATAGGATAGGGTGACAAATGAGCACACAGTCCACCTGATGGTAAGTGATTGCTGTGACCCATAGACATCTTCATCTATCCTCAATAAAGAATCAAAATGCAAATGCGTTGTCACCCGTTAGGACTAAGATGGTATGCCTCTTCTCCAGTAAAAAGGGTCTCCGGTTCTCTACACTCACCATACGAAACACAGCAGTGTTATAAACTGCTATTTTACGCTGGTATTCTGTGAGAGCGTGGTCCTTCCCCGGTCGAGCCGACCCATTCGTGCTACAGCTATACAATTAATATAGCTGCAGCATGGCTCTACCACGTACAAAATCATTTTTGTCAACACCATCATCATAGGTTCAGGCTGATATGATTTTTGCGACCAATTTGCAACAAAATTTTAAACAAAAATTTACAACGCTTATCGGAATTTCAATTTTGTTGCAGGATTTTTCTGCCAGCTAATTCCTCAAATTTGGATTCCACTAGGATGGATCGACTGACACACGTCATTTTTGTTTACACAGTAAAAGTAAACGTATAAGTGGCTTAATGGTCGAGCTCTCCGCTAATTGAAAAAAAACCACTAGCAAAAAAAAAACAAATATATTCCTTAGAAAGGAACACCAGTTTAGTGGAAAATCCACTAAGTTGGCAACATTAGGGATTTTCGCGTTTTACACCAATGTAGTGTTTAATTTATACCTACCCTCTATTCCGACATATAAATAATTTAATTAGTAAAAATTACAAAACTTTTAGTACATTTGTAATTTTAAGTATATTTTACAATCGTGACTTTAAGTCTGGATGTTCATAGCGCCATCTCTCAAAAAGTTAAAGATTTTTCTCATATAAGTACCTACTAATCTCCCTAGTGTAAATAGACGCTTACAACACCTATTGATTCTATGGTAGATTGGTCATAGCGCCATCTATTCTAAAAGAGTACTACGAATTAGTGAAACTCATCCTACTACATATTCTTACAATGAGCGCATCCACGACTTTTTCTGCCACCAGGGCGGCGGCGCCTCTTTAGATGCGGTGAAATATTTCACAGATTTCATAGCGGGCATAGATTATTGTAAATATATTATAGATAGCGAGGGAAGTTAATTTGTTAAAAAAGTGTAAATATTAATGTTTATTTCTGAAATATTAGTTATATTTTATTATAATAAAATTGTGTTATAATTATATTTCTTATTATAATTAGATTAGGAAGGAATAAACCAGTCTACGGATATTCCTAAAAGTAGAAAAATTTAAAAAGGGTTAAAAATGTGCAAAAATTTAAGACCACACCACTGAGACATTGTTTTGAGTATAAATATGATCCTCTAGAAACTAATAAACATTAAAACCGATTTCGCGGTTAAATAGCTTTGCGTGACAAAAAACTTTACCTCAGTCCCAACTAACGACATCTGGTGAGCATCATGGTGATCATTATCATGATTCAATGTTCATAAAGACCATCTTAAAATAAGGCCAATGATCTTCCGCAGGATGGTTCCTACTATTCGATTACCGATACGAGGTTACCACTGTGAAGACCATGTCCTATCTGTTATCGGTTCGCAAGCTATATGGTCGGCCTATTGCTACTTCAGCTTACTGATCCGTTGAGCTATGTCGGTTTCTCTGGTTCTACTGCGGTTGTCATCTTTACGGATTCTATCACGCAGAGATTTTTCCTAGCAAAGCCTACACGTCTTAGTTCCATATGTCATAGCATCATTGGCTATACGCACTGGTAGTACATTCTTGTTTCATTTTTTGAGGAATATGTGACAAAAATATGTGTTGTAATCTCCTGAAAACTGGCCATTAAAATTGGATGCGTCGATGGACCTATCGGTCGAAGTTGAACTTAATATTGTGGAACATTTTTTCCTAGGTCGAGCATAGTGTTCCTATCGCTTACCTGCATATGTGTGACATGAATGTCATGTGAATGGATAGACAAAATATCAAAAGTCTGCAAAACAAGGTAAAAAAAAACAACATTTTTGTTCTTGTATTCTGTATTACAAAATAAATAAGCTACAATACATTATGTTTATTCTCACACACTTTGATTATATAATATGTAAACTAATACGAAAAAGGGACATATAATATGTATGATCGAAAATTTATCTAAAATATTTACCTCTTTATATTTCTTTGGCGAGATTCACGTAGAATAATTTTGACGAATTCATTAAGTAAGCACAAATATTAATAATATAGTATACTTAATAATGTTAATTAATAATATTTACAATTTGTACCAAAAGGAAAATATGGCACGACAAATTTATATATAATGTAACTATAAATTAATGTTTAGTATGAAAAGCCTCGAAAAAAACTTAAATCAACATTAATAAAGAAAATGCAAGAATTAAATGCAGCTTTGTAAGTACAATCATAAGAAAACTTTTAATATATACGTTCATATACTTATTTTAATATATTATGCATTTTAACTTAATTATTTTATACAAATAAAAGTTTCATCGTTTTGAATAGCTTGAAATTATAGTATAAAACTATAAAAATGTTTTTACCAATTCAAATAAATGTGCAAAATTTCATTCATAACTACTTTTTGAAAGTTATTATTTTATGTTATTATTTTGGTTATACATTTACATGTTCCATACATGTAAAATGAAACGTATTTTAGAATATCTACCAAAATTAATGGAAACATTAAAAACTACAAAACATCTAATATTGGTTACAATAAAATGCAACAGACTAATTCGAAATAGCTTTTTTTATTTATTTAATGCTTTTTAAATTAATCGGAGGATTTTAAGAGTAATAAAACTTACAAACTAGCACTAATGCAAACCATAAGGATCAATTGTTTATGGACCGCATATACCCTCTCAATTAGCTAGATCTCCGAAGGAAAGATTGCATGTGGGTCGTGGCCTACCTAAAGCTAGCGGGTCTACTAGGTCCCTCGGTGGGCTCCAGAACAATTCTCTTGAAACAACCTTCTGGCAGCTGATCAAGTATGTCCTTTATGTTGTCCACTTCCGTTCGAAGGTGATCGTGCTCATCTTGGTATTGCTTAATCCATCTGTAAAAGTAAATAATGTAAAAAAACAGTTTTCTTTTTACCGGTGATCCCGTTAATTGTTTTTAAATAATGTAACTTTTCTACACGTAACTACAGGACTCTTTTTATTTCTGAGTAGATAATGGAGCAAAAAATGTTACAGCCAATATGTTCTAGCGCGATTTTGTACCTTATTCATACTGAAAAGTGGCATATCGATAATACGAGATGAATATAATTCAATTTCTATAATTACAATACCGTCTAAGATTCTGAGGGTTTCCATGGTTTTCTAATTTCTTAATATAAGTTATAAGAATCACTGTCATAAGTTACAGAAAAAGAGAATTTTTTGTGTGTTACCTCTGATGATTGTTCTTCGCCTCAGTTAAGGATTTTATTTTTCCATCCAAGTCCACTTGGCGTAAAGCGCTTTCTGCTTTATCCAAACTTTCCTCTGAAATTTTTTTATATTATGTTATTGTCAAGTATAGAATTATTTTACATCCTATTCTTGTTATTTTTGAACCTTTTATAGCTATTCCTTTCATACAAGAACAGAAAAAGTTAAATATATAAATTATTTTTAACTGCTAAATTTTTTGCCTAACCATATCGGCAATTGCCGACCATTAGGGCCACTTTTGTGCAAAGAAATCCACATGATCTGAAGTTAAATCCCACAGCTTAGTGAAAAGGCAGCATTTTCAATGTGAAGATATCGGTTCTGCGCTCAACAAACCACAATTTAAGATGGTATGTATGGGCAAATCTTTTAAGAAATTAAGATTCCTTTTATAACAATGGACTTAAAAGACTGATAACGAAGAAAGGAGGAGAAACAAATTACTGCTAAAGAAAAGTCTTGCAGTAATTTAACATTAGACTATTTTGACAGGTACTAATCGGTCTAGTACTAAACTAGATGTTGTCACACAGATCAATTCCAGCTTAAATAGACGAATCGTAGAGTAGACGTAGAGAGAGAGAGAGAGTAGAGAGAAGAGAAAAAGAATTTCACCGTTGCTTCTTTACGGAGCCTTTTGAATTAGCTATAGCTCAATCGGCCGGAGCGCTAGATGGCACTATTTATAAATCCCAACCCCTGGTTACGGAGCAGGGAACGCTAACGATTTCTATAGGCATTACAGCGACCGTATGTTCGATATATAATTAACAAAATATTATATGCCTATAACTAGAAGACAAACTACATACGTTTAATTCACAATAAGCTGTGAAAAATTACATGCCTTAATATATATGTATAATAAACTTACGTAATCGATCTAAAGCATCGTCATCGAGGGTTGGCAAATTTTGCAACTCATCCGTTATAACTTTTAGGTCCTCCAAGCCCTTTGACACTTGTTTCTCAGCTTCTCTAGCGTCTGTATTCGCTTGGCCGACCTGTTATAATTGACGTTTAAATATTAATTTGTTCATTGGTACGATGTCTTTTTGTGCGTTGTACTTGTACTAACATGTGACTACATTTAACATTTTTTAAATTTTTTATCATCATCATTATCAGATTCTTTTAGTTCCACCTGATTCTTAGTGGTTATGTAGGTAGCCTTAATTGTAAGGCACATCTGATCTTATTCATTACGAATTTTCTTCATTCATTATCATAATTATTAAAAAAATGACCTTATTAATATCACTATAGTCGTTATATTTACACACTGTCACAACTGTCGCAGTAGCGATAACGATTAGATAGGTAAACGAAGTGTGGGACGCCCCCTGGCTAGATCTGCGACGATATTCGCAGTAACTGGATGCATGAAATCAAAGATCGAACTAAGTGGCGCGCCTTGGGAGAGGCCTATGTCTAGCAGCGGACTGCCGCAGGCTGATAATGATGATGATGATGATGGTAATGAAATGAGAGATTAGTATTACTTTCATCTTAGCGTCGCGAGTTAACTGCATATTTTCTGCAGCTTGTTTCTCACGATCTTCAATTTGTTTCGCTGTTCCCTTGACCCGAGCTGAAAATAAAACACCGTTTACTTATACCCATAAAAGTAGTATTTTCTATAATATTTTCCAATAGAAATAAAAGTGAATTCTAACAATAATATAATAATTTTTCAAGTAACAAATAGCAAATGTAAATGTACATGAACAAAAAAAATTATCGGCAGCGACCCGTATTAATATAGCATGGATTTAGTTTAATCTAAATCAACGAAATTTTGTTATGCCAATCAATAAAAATTAATTCCAAAAAAATAACTTGATCATTTTTCAAATAATAAATACAAGAATTTAAAAAAAATTGATTGGCTACGAACCGTATTATGATTTGGATTAAAAGTTTATAGGATCTTGAAAAAAAAATATTTTTCAGGTAAATAGACAGAGTAATTCTAATATTTAGCTACACAAGCAAACTCAAATTAAAACTGGGCAGCTATATACATACTCGATAATTTATCAGCTTCATCTCGAAGTTTACCAGCTTCAATCCTGGATGAAGATGCCTTTTTCCTAATCTCGTGCGCTGCCTGTGGAGATCAATCAATGTGAGGAAAAACATTGCAATATATTTTTTTTACATAAGCGAAGTCTTTTTAACTAAGATATAGTCTTAAATAATAAAACTGATGCTACCTCAGAAGCCTTATCAGCATACTTTTTCTGCGCTTGTTGTGCTAAATCTCTGGCTTCCTTGGCTTTATCACTAGCAGTATTTAACTCTTCAATAATACTAGAGATACTCTCTTCTGCAGCTGCTACCTTCTCCTGTACCCCCGGTACATCTAATGCAGCTTGCTCTGCTAAGTGTCGGGACTCGGCCACTTGATCGCTAAATTCTGGAAATAACAAATCTTCGTAAAATATTTGTAAAAATCATTTTTCTGAGATTATACTATACAAATATTATTTAAAATATTCAGGAGTAAAACTTGGAACCGTAGTCTCGACCGTATAGCACCAACCTGAGGTCAGTTTATTCATTTATTTATTCCTTAGAACCTATAAAAAGGCCATTGCTATAGCCTGAGCCTAAGAGGGGATATTTGCCACGGTTGCCACTCTTGGCAGGTGGGTTCGCAACCACAGAATTTTATTATTGAATTGTTAATAGGAATACACTACGGTCCATCTCCTTTTTCGTTTCCCTTTGTCAACTTTTACGACTATATATACCTACGAAATGACATAGTCTAGTGGATTCTCTTACGTTCCCACTACACAGTTATGGGAGAATAGGAAACTATATAAATAGTAATAATATTTTTATGAATTGTAATTATGATTGGTTAATTATCTCTCCTTCATATTTGGTGTAATTGCTATAATATACTTGTAGTACTAGTATGTTTGTGACATAACATTTGCACAATACTTTTATTTTTCGTTTTTCTTTCTTATAAAGATATATGAAAATCATAGTAATGAATCTTGGCTAATTTTGGTCAGGGTGATATATAACCGGAAGCTTGACATCATTTAATATAAATTATTATAGAACAAATTAACAAGAAAAATCAATAAATTACCTTTCAGAGTCTTATAAATTTCATTAGCGTCTTTTAATGTTGCTTTTGTGAGTTCAACATCATTCTTGGCTTGCGCCTGTAGCTCGTCAAGCTTAGCCAGCAGATCATTTAGCTCTTCTTGTCTGTCGTGACCCTGGTCCAATAGGTCCCTACCCCTATGTATGGCATCTTCTAGGTTGTTGAGGGTCTCTCCATTGCTATTCATGAGTTGTTCAAGTTCAGCTACCTTTTCATCTATCTACAAAATCACATATTAATGTTAGCACACAATTACATTTACACAAAAAATTTGTATACATTTCCAAATAATAAGATAGATCGTTATTTATAGCACACCGAAATTTTCCTTCATTAATTATTATTTTTTCAGCAACTATACTCATTTGCATGAATAACGAAGATATCTAACAATGATACTTATTATCCTTTAGTTTTTTTGCTTATATATGTACGTGACGTTTGCTATGATATGGTTTCCGGCCGTCTTTACGGTGATGATCCGTGGAAAGTTCCATCACCGCTACTGTCACCGTTACAGCCTATTAATGTCCACTGCTGAACATACGCGTCTCCCCCGTAGATACCCTCATATGGGGAAGAAATTTACCATGATTGCCTTGCTTGGCAAGCGGGTTGGCAACCGCATTTTTATTTTTAGTCGTTATTAGGAAGACGCTGCTGTCCATTTTCTGACTTGTTTCGCTCTGTCGCCTCTTAGGACACCCATGGGATGATATGAGGTAGTGGATATTCTTATACCGTCATTAAATGGTTCTCAGATCACCACTATGACATAGAAATTATCAAAATAATTTGTTCCATTCAGCTATACCATCGCCAGAAGAGCAACAACTCAAAAAAATCAGTGACCAATATTTATCAAAATGGAATTTTCCGCCAAAAACAGTTGATGATAAATGTATAATATTCAAAGCTTACCAGATTACCAGTAGATCGTTATATTATAACTACAAGAAAAATTATTCAATAGTAGGCGCAGGTATTTAACTAAAGAGTAAAAGACCAACAGAAATAAATCATACATTCAATATACCAGCACCGAAAGCTCTGTCTAGTGATGCCACATGATCTAGTGGGAGTCGAAGCTTTTGCTCTCTACCTATACTTATTGAAAACCTATCATAAATAGCAATCTGTACATAATTCATTAAAAGGTATATATGACTACCGATTATCATGAGCTTAAAGAACTACTGGAAATACGTTTGGAATTATATATGGTTACTTCAGACCATTATTGTTACTGTCCCAGCAGTGACAGACGAACTGGTAGTGTGTGTGTATATCCTCTTAACTGATTTTTTTTAGTATACTGTACAAATACAAACTGGATTTCCAACCTAGGACCTAGCGAGGCGGTCATCACTAAGTAATTATTTGAGTAATTAGTACGTAAAAGTAATGATAATAGTTAAAAAGTAAAAAATAAACTTTACTTTTTGACAATTATAATATGATAAAACAGGCAATAAAATGTTAACCAATATTTGTTAACCAAAGTTTGCTAAAACCAATAAATTCATTAAAATTGATTGTGTAGCCGATATAAAAAATATTGTAACTTCAGATTAAAAATGTCCAACAATATATTAAAACATCGATCATTCATGAAAAAAAAACTTCTTACTGTTCTGTTCATCTCCATAGAATCGTGATGAAGCTTATTCAGTTTGATATCAGGCAACAATGTTGTATTAACTTCTGCATACAGACCCAGAGCGTCATCGTATACAGATTTAGCCCTCATTAACGCTTGGTCGGCTAGTTCAATCATACTGTTTAATTTTCCTGTTGCAGCATTCATTTCATTGGCAAGAATTTGGACTTCATTACTGAAAAATAAAGTTATAAGATAAAAATTAAATTTATAAAGCAGATTATTTTTTATTCACAAAAATAGCTCTAAGTATTACCTTATGTTAGCCTGCTTATTGATGCCATCCTTAGCAATTTTGTTGGCTTGTAACGACGTATTAAATGCCTTGTCGGCTATTTCTTGAATATTTTTTGCTTCATTTTCAAGTTTTTCTGCTAGAAGACGCGACTCCTTAGCCAGAGCGGACATATCAACAGATTGCTTACCAAACTGATCGGATCTATTACGGGCTTTGGCTAAAGCGACTGCTCCTTCACCATCAAGATATTCTAAGGCACTCTGCAATGAGATATAAATTTTAGTTTTACGCTTTACAAACAATGAAAGACAAAGAAGTTAAATTTACAGTCTTTATATGTCCCACATCTCTTTACAAAATGGGGTAACAAACGAGCCCACGGTCTACCTGATGGTAGGTGGATGCTGTGGCCCTTAGATATCTACAATTATCCTCGATTAAGAATCATAATGCAGGTGCGTTGTCACCCCTGAGGTCTAAGATGGAATGCCTCGTTTCCAGTAAAAAAAGTCTCCGATTCTCTACACTAACCATAAGAAACACAGCAGCATTAAGCTGCTATTTTGCGCTGGTATTCTGTGAGTGCGTGGTCCTACCCCAATCAAGCCAACCTATTCATGCTACAACCATAATATAGTTGCAGCGTGACTCTACCACTTAAAAATTATTAGTACTTAACAATTAGTACACCGCTCTGCTCCAATGCGTGTTGCCGGACTTCACATGTCGTCGAAATATTTTCTTTGCTCAGAAACGTTTTTTCATGATACTATTCCTCAGCTGACGACAACGTAGTAAATAAGCACTTAGAATTACAATTAACAATTAGTTTTGTGCCAGCGGAGATCGATCTCGGTTTGCTCGTGTCCTTTGCAATTTACGACGAGCACTTAACCACTGAGCTACCGCGGATGCTTACTTTTATTAATCTTATATATTATAAATAATATTTTTTTCTTCTTATTTTATGCGCTGCCATGCCGTTCATCAGATTGCGCTAAAACTTTGCCAACTTATTGCTTGCATTTGTGAGAAGGTTATAGGCATAGTACAATTAACTTACAATAGGTAGCGCGCATATCGTACCAACAAATTTATTTCAAAGTTAAACATCGCTTAACTTCAATTAATGTATTAACATTCCTAATTAAACAATATAACTCTTCCAAATTTAAAACAAAAAAATCGATAATTATTTTTTCTGTGGCAGCAACCCGGTGCGTTACTAGCAAAAATAATTGTCATCAAATATTACATACGTTAATCTCTTTCTGTGCCGCTTCAATGGTGTCTTCAGCCTTAGTAATATTACCTCTGCTTCTTTCAACAGATTCGTTTCCTTCATAGCTTTCGTCTTCAATCTTGTATAGCATATTTCTACAAAAATAAAATATTGATTTTATTCCAAAGCTTTCAAAGTAAATTTCAATAATCGTTTTAGTTCCCAATAAATGTTTTAGTCCCAAAAACAATATTTCAAATGATAAATAAAATGTATAAATCATTTAATATTTAGTTAGTTCAGATTTACATAAATACAGGCGACATCCAAAATAAATAAAACAAAAACTTGAACAAACCTAACATCTGTCAATCTGTCAGCCAACTCAGCAAGGTTGTTTGTTAAACTGAAACTGCCATTACCAAGTTCCGCTTGTGCGTCTAGAATGAGTCGTTCTATTTCAACACGCACACGTTGAAGCTCTAGATCGAAATCTGCATTCTCTACTACAGTCGGGGCTTTTGAAATCTTAACTAATATCTGCAATAAAGATTGAAGATTGAACTACGAATTCGCTGGGGAAACTATTAATAATAAGGGTATAAACTCAAGTGTGTGTATACCTCATCCAATTCTTTTAGCTTGAGTCGGTGATCATTCACAGCGTCAAGAACGAGGTTATAACAAGGCGGACAGTCCTCGCATCCTTGGCCATCTGCTCTTCGTTTCTTGTTTTCCATACAACTGCAAATACATGTTAGATGAGTAAATAAATTAATGAATAATTTTAATAATTTATTATGATTGTCGTTAATTTAATGCCCACTTACCGGTCGCATCTTCTTCCCTCGACATTCTCTTGGCAGGAGCATTGCCCACTAACATCGCACTGATAGTTAGTAGAACCCCATTCGTCACAGTCGCAGTCCAGGCAGCCTTCACCCGAAAATCCATAGTGGTACGCGCGGCAACGATCACAGTGTTTTCTGCATCGGAAATAACCGAAACTCGTTAATAATTATCACAAAATTGTCATATGGTTAAATTAAATACAAACAAGTATTTTTGTCATCGTTTTCAAGAAGCACAAATTTAAAAGTTTTTGAGTATATATTGGGATTTCTGAAGGATTTACTACCATCGGTCGGTCTTTTAAAACCTAGTCCACTAGTCCAGAATATATTGCGTGTGAATACAGAGGCTGATGCTTGAGAGAGTTTACATCTTACATTTAATAAACGTTTCATTAAAGTTTTTGTTTTGAAGTAAAGGTCACAAAAAGGCACATCACCACCAATACCTGATAATAAGTGGACGCTTTGACCCAAATACTATCTTCAATTAATAATTAAAATGTTGTCAACCCCTGAGGTCTAAGATGGAATGCCTCGTTACCAGATTGTCTCCGATTCACACCAGTCATTAATTCAGCAGCATTATACTGTTATTTTACGTTACTATTCTAAGCATGACCCATTCACGGTGGAACTGACCCATTCGTGTTACAGCCTTAATACAGCCGCAGCGTGGCTATGTTATATATAATATAATGCGTACTTAGAAAGGCCTATGTCCAACAGTAAATCGAAAACTCTGTTAATTTACTAACGTGATATGTCTTTCTGTTTTTTTTTTATTACTTACGACATTCATAGTTTTTAATTAACCCTGAACTGGAACATTATTCGTCAGAATAAAGTATAAAATTGAAGATAAAATATATATGAACCGATACTCTATTCCTGGTCGACTTCTACAATGAATACAAATTCTGAATTCCAACAGATTTTAATCGATGCATTTGTATTCACACCATTGAGGCACAAATAGATAAATACTTTAAACTCCAGTAGTATGTTGATTATAATGTAATAAAATTGTCGCAATAACTTACCCGTCGATTCCAGGCTTACAGTAACATTGCCCAGACACAGGATTGCACGTAGTGTTGTAAGAACCTTCTAGATTGCACTCACAAGGAATGCAGCCTTCGCCAGAATCAATGTTATAGTAGCCATCCTGATGTCAACAAAACATATCGTATACAATAATATTTTACTTACTTACTAATCTATTAACGGTATTTTCCAAAAAAAAAGTCCGTTTAAAGTATGAAAGTGATATTAAGAAAAAACGTTAAAATTTATGCCATTTCTTTTTTTTTAAATATTGTTATCTAAGTAGTTCAAATAATTAAAAGTACAACTAACCTCACATTTGTCACAATTTTTGCCAATAACGTGCGCTCTACAAGAACAATAGCCAGTAAGACCGTCACACTGAGGAGGACCTTCGGGACTCTCTAAAGTTCCAGCTTCGTGACACTGGCATGGCTTACAGTCGCCTTTCTTTGTCTGATCCAATGCGTCACCGTAAAATCCTAAAATTGATGAACAATAAATAGTTTTTGACGAAACATTTTTCAAACGAAATGTTTATATATGAAAACACAATCATTATTTTAATGAATTTCAGTCATTTTCTAAACATAAGCTTTTCTAACAATGCTGGAGTCAACAAACTATGTATTTATATAAAATCTGCCAACTAAAATGGTTATTGCACCATCTGTTTGTTGCAGAAGTTGTTGGCTTTCCTTTGCTCGTCTTTACGGCAACCTTGAAAAATAATTATCTTTATTATGTCGTGAAGAAGTCTCCGTGGATTTAGATTTCTAATGTATGTATATGTAATTCTAAATAAATAAATCAGGTATTTTTATGCACGTTTACAAAACAAACGGGCACACAGTCCACATGATAGTTGGATGCCATGCTCATGCCCATAGATACGTCTATTTTCGATATTTATTTATTCATTTATTTGCTTTTTTAGTTGTATGTTACTGAGATACTGTTAAATACTGTGTATATATACCAAGTCCCTAATGGAGACATGTATTGAAATAAACATTATTATATACCAGGTCAGTTAAAAACAAAAATTGTCAATTGTGAGCTGTAGTCCTCTAATAAGATGTCATCAGTAATTTAAAAAATCATTTACCGAATAAAATGTATTTTGAAGAAGCCACTGGTATAATATTTTTTAAATGTTTGTACAGAAAGTCAAAAACCTTTAATTATGTTTGGTATTTTATTATATATTGTTTACCCATCCAGTAACAACTTTTGCTAAAGTGTTTACTTTTTGGTATTTCGCTAAGCGGGTGATCTGTGTGTCTCGTGTTCAAGGAGTGGTATCCTATATTAAGTTTATAAAAACTCTTCCCGTGTTGTTTAACAAACTTAGCAACTTCTAATATATACAACCAAGGCACGGGTAAGATCCCCAATGTCTTAAATAGAGGTCGGCATGAGACATCTGGGCCAACACCATGAATGGCACGAACACATTATTTTGTGCAATAAAAACTTTATTAATCTCTGCACTGTTGCCCCAAATAATAATCCCGTGCGAATAATCGAATAATCGACACAATATATGCAAAATATGTCATAATTACAGTTTTTTTTGTTGCCACTTTTGTAATTCTATAAATCGCATAATATGTGAACCTGTTTATTTTATTACATATTTTACAAACTATTTCTTTCCACTTTAATTCTTTGTCAATAATTATACTCACGTCACGTTAGTTGAACTACAGAGTATGTCCATTATAATTAATATTTATTAGATTATTATTTATATTATTGAAATTTATGTATTGAGCTTTACTTAAGTTTATTGTTAAATTATTATTACTCAGCCATTTAGTTACTTCAAATATTGTTTCATTAATGGCAAAAATATGTTTCGTCAGTGATACATTTTTATTTGTATGATAAAGAGTCAAAATAAAGAAGATGGTGTCACCGCTGAAAACTAAGATAAAATAAGTTGTTATCATTAAAAATGATCTACCCGTCTCCACAATAATGCTGCTAGGTTAAATAAGGCTAAGTAAATAACTTAGGAACTGAGGTATCCACTAGGTTGATCTAGCTGACAAAAGCTGTACAGCAAACATAACACCAATGGCTTTTATTTGTAAAAGTTTCTAGTAAAATCAATTCAAACTTACCACTCAGACATTTATCACAGTGTTCACCAGCCGTGTTGTATATACATTTTAAGCATTCGCCAGTGGTTCTGTTGCAGTTGCCGACGGCGTTAGAGTCCACATTTCCATTGCACTGACATTCTTCACACTCCTTAGGTGGTCCAAACTGTCCGGTTGGGTCGCCAAAGAAACCGTCCGCACACACTTCACACTTGGGTCCTACAACGCAATATAAACTATCCTTTTTAAGAAGACGACTATATAAGAACAACCTGTACTTTATATAAGTCCGTACGACGGTAAAGTCAACAATTGTATTTTCTATGACTAATTATTAATTTCAATTACAATTAAATAACTACATTGAAAATAAAATTTCAAAACACTACTAACTTAGGGAAATAACCTGGTTTATAACTTCGAAGGATAGTGACGCTATCTCCAATCCGGTTGTGTGTCCTTATATAATACGGTAAAGATCAAATTCCACGAGAAACATCCGTCGTTTTCATTTTACGTACAGCAATGGAATTATTTGATGAAGACAAGAATAGTGACTTTATAGGTTTGAAGTAAAGCTAAAGGTCCGAAAAGTGTGTCCGATACACAATACTCAAACTAATTACTCGTTCTTATCCGTACATGAAAAAGGTGTTACTTAGCGGAAATAAAACTAAATCAGCATCATCACTATTTTCTTTTTACCATAACCATACATTCAATCTTTAATATATATATAATACTAGCTGGCCAGGCAGACGTTTTTCTGCCCTTTTCGACGACCCTTCATATAAAAAATCTTTAATATCGTATTAAAAAAATATTGAGTGTCACTTATAAGGATAAAAACTATACTATCTCTCAAGTTGGACGAAACTGCAGTATGCAAAATTTCATTGAAACCAGTTCAGTAGTTTAGGAGTTCATCGCGGACAAACAACGTGACACGTAATTTTTATATATAAAGATTTACTCTAAAACATAAGTTGTGAAAAGCAGGTCAATTTCAGTATAACCGACGTTCGAGGTTTGTCAGCCTCGCCGATAAATTATTTCTGGTCTAAACGGGAGCCAACCCCACAACACTTGCTTAAATCCAGTTATAGTAATGTTAAACGTTTTTCAATTGATGCCTTTGATGATTGAATAAAATTTGTAACGTTGTACCCGAGAACCTTTTCTTACGACCAGTTGTCTTCTTCGACCAAATGAAGGAACAATTTATTTCTACTTTAGCACAACAATTCGTTTAATTATATCAGATATTCGGACTCTACTGCACACATTTCCTTTACGGAGAAAAACCCCGCACACACATACACACACCCCTGTAAGATTTCTTTTACAATTTTTTTAATATTTTAAGAAAGCGCTTGACTACTTTCACACCTGATGATAAGTACTTTCACAGCTGAAGATGGTAAGGCGTATCAACGTCGCCTAACAAAAGCTCACTTTTGGCCTTGAAGACACTCGCTTTATAATCGAATGGACAGATGCTGGCAGATTATTCCACTCATTTGCTGTCCTTATTATGAACGACGAATCAAAAACTCGACTCATTCGACTGAGCTTCCTTTTACTGCTAGCATTGAATGAACATGCCTCGACTTCGATTATCATGGCTCATTAAGCCACAAAATGCTTCTTAAAAGAATATCAATAGAAAAAAAAACATCTTACCTGCATATCCCAAGGGGCAGTCCGTACAGACAATGTTCTGATCCATCAGCTGAATACAACCACTGTCTTTGGGGCACGGGCAAGGCTTGCAGTCATCTGGAGTTCCAGCTATAGCATTTCCATAGAAGCCCTTTGCGCAAAGTTCACAGTTGCTACCAGTTGTATTATGCTTACATATACAGAACCCTGAAAAATGTAAAAAAATAAAAGTTTGTTTCATATCCTTATTATCCTCGAGCATTTTAAATGTGTGAATAGGCCATGGAAATATCACCACATTTAACGAACTGGATCAAGATATCTGATAGAACTAGATATATCATGCAACTTAATTTCTTCTGCTGGGTTTCTTGCTAGTCTTTCCAGGGTTTTTTTAATAACCAGTGTTAAAAAGTAAAAAATGACCTTCAATAAGAATTATTTATAATCCATATTGAATAAAAAAACATTCCATTATAATATTCTAATTAATTTTTCACACAATATACACAATAATAGTTATACAGCTAACTAACGCTATACGTGGTTTGTAAATCGTAAAACCGTATTCAAACAAAAAAACAATCAAATACATTGAGCAATAAGTCGTAGTTTTTTTTTTCAATTTTATAAATTTTTTCACCTGACATAGATTCATCACGTTCCAGTACGCCAAAGTCGGTACGGTTAACAATCTGTGCCTTCTTTAGTAATCCACTGCTGAACTTTTTTTTATAGGATAGGGTGGCAAACGAGCACACAGTCCGCCTGATGGTAAGTGGTTGCTGTGGCCCATAGACATCTACATCTATCCTCGTTTGCGAACCAAAATGCAGATGCGTTGTCACCCGTGAGGACTAAGATGGAATGCCTCTTTTCCAGTAAAAAGGGTCTCCGGTTCTCTACACTCACCATACGAAACACAACAGCGGTAAGCTGCTATTTTACGCTGGTATTCTGTGAGAGCGTGGTCCTTTCCCGGTCGAGCCGACCCAGTCGTGCTTCAACTATAGTACTAATATAGCTGCAGCATGACTCTACCACGTTAGTGGTAGAACCATGCTGCACTAAATGCCATTTTAATAATGCGCCAGCTGGTATGCATTACATTGGGGATTTGCTCTCATCACATTGGGCAGACTGATTAGAGACAGAGGAACAGATATGCCCCCCCCCCCTTACCCGCGTATTTATATGGTTTTACCTAACAAGTTTATAAAAAAAGTCAGTGAAATTGGGATTCAACCGTTGGATGGATTTCTGCCATCAGTTGTCTGTCAATCTGTGGGGTGAATCGCTGTGAAGTAAAGTTTAGGTGGTATTTGAGGAAAAGGCAATATTATCCTTCTTACATTATAAATTTCTAATTGTATTTAACATAGTTAGTTACCTGTAGCTGTATCACAAATATGCGCATGTCCGTTACAGTCGCAAGGTATACATGTGGAATATGGTCCGCCATTCGCAGGCTCGTGTTTAAACCCAGGAGCGCACTCTTCGCAATAATCTCCCACGTAGGCATTCGGGCATGAACACTTTTCTACCCAATTCGCTGGAGCTGATCCTTTCTCTCGTCCAATGTTAGCAGTATCCAATTTAAAACTCATCATATACCCCTCTCCACCTTTATTGTACGTTCCTCTGATCTTAATAGCCGTTAGATTCTGAAGTATGGACAAGAACTCGAAGTTGGAGAGAGTAGGTGTCCATCCATATCGTGGATCTTCGTGAAGTCGGAATTTGTATTCTTGTATCTAGAACAATATTTTTTAGATTGATGCTATGTTAAATGAATAGGTTTTCTTCTTATTCAAATATAAGTAATAATTTGTTATGTTTTTTTAAAACAACTTTTACAAATATTGTACATTTTATCACTTTATTTCCAATCTTATGGCTTAAAATTCAATTATGAGGTAGGCAATTAAAATCGCATAGGTATATGGAACTAAAATTTTAGTAACATTCGCAGAACAAGTCGCAAAGCTTTAAATTAAATCGCAAAGCGAATTCAAACGTATTTTTTTTTTCATACCTGATCAGAAGGTTCTGGGTTGTTTTGGCCGTAAATGTTCATCGAAATAGAAGCACGTGCGCCCTCTAAGATTATATCTTGCGAGGATGGATACCCTCTGCTCTCTCCTAACCGAAGAGTGAACTTGAGGTCATGGTTGTATGACGGTCTCTGATCACCGAGGAACAGTTTTGACGCCACGAAGTATATTATTTCTGATCCCTTCGATTTAACCGCTAGAAAGTAAAATTGTTGCCAAATTTTAATCAATCTGACTTAGCCCCAAGACCAAGTTAAATCATTCACACTTAGCCCCAAGGCCTGAGTAGATAGGTTAATAAATTGAGTAATCTTTTTTCTCTTTTCTAAACGTTACAATTACATTATTAACTAATATTAGGATTTTGAAAATATTTTATTTATTTATTTAGGGCAACTAGAAATCAGTACACCGCGATAATTAAATATAAAGAGAAGTATAATTTTAAACAAGTGTTTACTCAACATGCATAAATGTTACAACGGTACTGCAAGAAAGAAATGCAGTACCATAAAAATAGAGTACATAATATGTATTACCAATCGTCTTTACCACTAAATAATATTTTGTATTTTTTTTTTAGAATTTAGCATTACTCTGAATATTTATCTTTACTGACCTATATTTTGTGCATTAGCATTGAATAGTAAAGGTGCTGGTCTCCTTTGATCATCCTCTGCACTCCATTTCTCTGCATCTCTTATGAAATGCGCCGTGAGTTCATTCGCTTGATATTTAGGCGCGGAGCTACACTGTGATGAATGGCCGAAGCAGAAGCACGGAGTACAGCCAAACTCATTGTCTATATCCAAGTTGAAGAAACCAGGCTTACATCTGAAAATATAAACACGTTGACGATGAGATTATTCGAGAGTAAATAGACTTGAAGTTAGTCGTATTATAGGAAGCACAAAGGTTCCAACATTTTCCTATAGTAATAATATATATTTTATGATATTTATTACAGAGCACGACTACTTTATACAAACTCATATTATGAAAAATAATTAAATATATTGTTACCTATACAAAGGTAAAGTCAGCTCTTTAGCTTAGATTATGGAAAATGTATAAAGAGAAACTGTCCAGAACTCACTTTTTATATAGGATAGGGGTGACAAGCGAGCACAGTCCACCTGATAGTAAGTGGTTGCTGTGGCCCATAAACATCTGTCCTCGGCTACGAATTAAAATGTAGAAGATGCGTTTTCACCCGTGAGAACTAATATAGAATGCCTCGTTTCCAGTAAAAAAGGGGCTGCGGTTCTCTACACTCAACATACGAAATGCACCAGTATTAAACTGCTACTTTACGCTGGTATTCTGTGAGAGCGTTGTCCTTACCCAGTTGAGCCAACCCATTCGTGCTACAACTATACAATTAATATAGCTGTAGCATGGCTCTACCGCGCTTACACTTTACTGTCACTTAACCTGATCTTTTCGTAAATGCTTATTTATCTCTATAGTTGAAGATATAATTTGTGAGAAGATATATTTCTTTGATATCATTCAATCAAATTAGAATAATATCCATTAAATCTAAAAATTTTAAAGAATCAGTAACTTTGATTCTCCCTGTTGGATAAAAAAGTTACGAACAGAAATATCAGAATAGTTTGTAGACAATTCGTTACATTAAGCATCAAAAGGCACTCACTCTCTACACTGTTTGCCTTCAACGTTTTGCTTGCACAGGCAGACGCCAGTCTGCGGGTCGCACTGCGGTGTGTTCGCATATGATCCGGATTCGTTGCAGCCGCACGGCTTGCAGCCCAGCGCGGTAAAGTCAAAGTGGTTCGCGGCGCAAACGTCGCATTTGTCGCCGGTCACGCCTGGCTTGCACTGACACTTGCCCTCCGAGTTACATTGGAGACTACGTGAGCCTGCAAATTAGGTTTTTTATAAATCTAAAATGGTAAAAAACAATATACTTTTAAAAATATTACACTTTTATTTATTTAATTCGGCTACCATCTGGTCATCGTTTTATTGATATTGAAATTTAATTTGTAATTTTTACGTTTAAATAATACCTAATCAAGGCAGTGACTTACTTACCTGTAGGATTACAGTTGCAGGGCATACAGATATCCTGGGCACCCTGGAAGTAATTCTCCTTGCACCTTTCGCAGTTAGCGCCGTCTCGGTTTTCAGCGCAATCGATACAGTGGCCGCCATGCCCGGTGCGTTCGTACAACTCCTTGTCGAAGTAACACTTATTCGAGAATCCGTTGCAATTGCACGCTGTTGACAAAACTTGTATACTCCACTTATTTGTTAAGATTTATTATTTATTTATTATTTTTAAATTAACCGTAATCCTTCCGTGATAGTGGGTACTGAGTACCGAAACTAACAAAAGGAATTCAAGTTCAAATTGTAATTTTAAAATTAGCATATTTAGTATTATAATTATAGCGATACACTGGGTCGTCATATGATCATCTTCATTGCAGTCTATAATCTACTGACAAGCACAATGCATTCCACAAATTAAATCATGGTTCGACCGCCCACTGTTTTAATATTTTATCACTTACCTATATTATAGGAGCTATCAAATGTATATTTGAGTTTTAACTGTTCCTTATAGCCAAAAGTGTAAGCAAATATACACTTTTGCTATACAGAACCAGTGTATCCTATGGAAAATTGTTATGTTTATCTAAAACTGCACAGAGAAATATAGTTCCAATAATTACTTAGCATATGAATATCAAATTAAAAATAAGAATATGAAGAATAAAAAAAATTTGAACATAATTTTTTTTACATAATATCATTTTATACCTATTTTTAAATCCTGAATTTGTAATCCTGAATTTAAAAAAGAAACAATTATAATAACAATATAAATGCTATAAGCAGAAAACACTTCGCAAGCTGATTAAAATTAAGAATGATCAAAAAATATATGTCTAACCCATGGTTAACCCAACTAGTTAACACACACTACTCGTATAAGTGTTGTGAGTGTTTGACGCTTATTTATTTCTAATTTTCGATTTAAATATTATATTGGATAAAAATATATAAAAGTTAAAAAAAAACATATATCACACTATAGAGCACATTAATTCACCATAATATTGCACAACAAAAAAGACAATTTGAAAAAAAAAACAATATTTTGTTTTGTGTTTATTGAACTTGCATGCATTCATCATTAAATCTTTGTTGAATTCAATTTCATTACTTTACCCATGCGCTGTTAAACTCTTATTAGTGAGTTGAAGCTGGAATTTTTTGATTAATATGTTCGACTTATTTGCAACTATGAAGTTATCCAATAATGTTGTCTCATATCATCCATACTTTGACCCTTCCATCGACAAAACCTAACACACTAACATTAAAGTCACAGCTCTAGAGACTGGAGCTACGTCGAGTTTCGGTAGAATCATTTAAATAACTCAAAGGGCATAATGAGAATTGACTTATATCAAAAGAAACCTTTAAAGGTTTCTTACAATACGCATTCATAGGAATACGGGACACAATATACTTATTACATGAACATTTGTTATCAGTCTGTCCACAGAATCCTAAACGTTTAGACGGGTCGCTAAGCAGGAGTTCTAGTTTACTTATTATAGTAGAGATCGCATAAGAAATTGTTTTTATCTCTGAAATAACATTTTCACATTAAGATTTCTTTGTTTAAATTTTGAATCTCGTATTCAATTCCAAAACACACAAATACGTAATACTATTATTACGTTTGTTTGTTTGTTTAAATATAATATAAAGATTTTTTTTAATTTGTTTACTCCAACTAACATATAAAAGTGGAAAATCATTTTATGCGTAAGCATCATATGATTAGTCTGTTATGATTTTATTGACAAACTACGCGTACTAGGTTATTGATATGAAATAGGGAACCAGTTGATGTAATTCTGAAGCTTATAAAAAAACGGGTCTTGATACGTCAATTTTTTCGGGAGTTATCGTGACCACATACAAAATCAACATCCAGACATCCACATAACTTTTTTCAAACCGTTTTTTTTTTCAAAGTAGCAATATAAAATGATTTTTTTATAAAATATAAAATGGATTAATAAGTGTTTTCTTGATATACGGCTACTCATGTTATCATATAAGTGCAATATGCTTATGATAGAGGCATTTTAAAAATACGAAATTGCTTGAACTTAACGTGTCGAGAGTAGAGCACTACCTAATAACGCTTCACGTTATGAGGCTTGCAATAAATGGAAAATCTTGAAAATTCAAAGGTTTATGGTAAAATCAGGTTTTTATAATGATTTCTTATATTTACGCGAACACTACACATTGAATAAAACTTCTTTTTTACGGATTTTATCGCGTTTCATTAACTTATTTTTGTATTCCCGACGTTTCGGTTGCTTTCCAGCAACCGTGGTCACGGGAGACTCAGGTGACTGACGTCCCGATGTCAGAGTTAACCCGGAGTACCTTCAGCTTTTTAATTATTAATTTTGGTCCGATCTACGCAGAATGAACTTACTGTATCTTAAAGTCTTGCCGTGATATGCTTGGGTTTAGTTTTAATTTTATGAAATACAGCATCCCAAGCAGGTGGTAGTACCCAGCCTCCCTCTCTATTGAAATTAGTATGTTTTTTTTTATTTCAATATCCTCACGCATCATCCTTGGCAGGAATCGATGTTCTTTTGCAAGAATTTGTGGTTTATCAAATCTAATGTAATGGCGGGGCCGTCTAGTATATGATCACAAACTGCAGACTTCCCGAAACGTTAGTGCTTCACGTCAGCTATGTGTTCTTTTACGCGGGTTTTTGTTTGCCCTATATATGAGAGACCACACTCACAATCAAGCTTTGTACACTCCTGTATCTTGTAGAGGAATATTGCACTTGACGGATGGTGAGAACTGACTAATCTTCTTCGGCGGCTTGAAGAATGTTCTAATAGAAGCTCGCTTCAAGATGTAGCCAATCTTGTCTGTGACACCTCTGACATATGGTAGTACAGCAGGCACACGCTCGACTGTGGCCGGTAAAGATCGGTTTGTATGGATATTTTTTCTATACACAGTGTGACCTATGGTGTTATTAGGATTTTGAATGACTAACTTAAACGGTGAATCCCACCATCATCCTTAAGAGTTAGCTACCGTGGGCATATCTTTGTTACAGAGAGCACAAGGGATCTGTGACAGCAAACACCTGGCTGCCGAGCTTCAGCACGTCAAGCAGGTTCTGCACGACAACATGCTTCGGATCCCGCGCCTACGTCACAGTGACCGAGAAAAGCCGGCCACAGTCGAGCGTGTGCCTGCTGTACTACCATATGTCAGAGGTGTCACAGACAAGATTGGCTACATCTTGAAGCGAGCTTCTATTAGAAGCATCTGCGTAGATCGGACCAAAATTAGTAATTAAAAGGCTGAAGGTACTCCGGGTTAACTCAGACATCAGGACGTCAGTCACCTCAGACCCCGTGACCATGGTTCCTGGAAAGCACCCGAAACGTCGGGAATATAGAATAAGTTAATTAAACGCGATAAAATCGGTAAAAAAGTAGTTTTATTCAATCAGGTTTTTAATCAAAAATCAAGATCAAGAACCGCAAGCAGACAAAATTATTAGTGAATCTTATCATTAAACTGAAAATATCTCGTTTTTTGATCAAAACTCTGAACTTGTTTTTAGGTTAATGATAAAATTTAAACTTAGTTTAGGTTTATCATAAAACTAAATCAGTCTAGATTTTTGATCAAAATACTGGATTTTCTCTAGTTTTATGATAACACAAAGTAGTAATTTTGTCTTCTTCCGGTTCTTGAAAAGCCTAGATTTTTCAACAAAAATCATGGTTTTATCATAAACCTCCACCATATACATTTTTCTAACTTTCTGCTGTAATGTTATAAGAGAATTTGATGTATTCGCTTAGCATTTAAGTCAGTATATTCTTTAAAAATAGGGCACTAGTAACGATAGTAACATTACTATCAAGTTTTCTATTGTGCAGTCTGTGGTCGATAGCGGACTGGCGACACCTTACTTGTCCAGTACAATAATGGCTTCAGGATTTTGTTGAGGCTACTCCGATTTTGCAGTGCATCAGGCATATTTGCAAAAGCGCATACACATGACTATTACCTCGTTGGTTGGCGGGGTGCGCGCTAGCTTCAACACCATCATGAAAATAATTGCTGAAAGATACGACTCATTTTTTCTGAAGCAATATTACCGCCTCTATTTAGTTAATAAGGCACTTGTATTTATGAATTAGATTTAGTTACTAACATAGGTTATAAGTTTTATATTTACTAACAAATTATATGGATTACATGGTTATCTGAAATAAATTATTATTATTACTAATATTACCGTAACCACTCTATGTAAATTTAAAATACTTGTGTTAGACGAATACTTTTTAATTTTGCAGTTCGTATCCTTAACCCTAGGCAACTGTCGTTTAAATCGCCATCGCCAATATTACAGATTTTAAACACAGAATCTCACCTTTACACTCGTGTACATTGTTGGGGGAAGCTCTTCCCCATGGGGCGTCGTTGTAGAAGTCTAGACATCTTTCACAGTCGCGACCCGCTGTGTTATGCTCACATCTAAACATTTAAAATTTTATACTAGAACAGGTTATTGTAAAGCAACGTACCTATTTAATGGAAAACATTGTTTAAGCTACAAGTTTAAAGTTGTTACAACCATCACATAGATGTTTCAGAAAATTATGTTTCTGAGTATTAAGCTGCCCACATCATTATGTTATTATGAATGTGATGCCCATTCGTTCTACAACCGTAATATAGCTGCTTTACCACGTATAAAAAATATTAAGACCAGTTAAGTCCTTTTAACTAGAGAACTAACTGTAAGTCTTTATACTTTGATGAGTAAGTAGAAATACTCGTAACATTCGTTAAAGTTATATGGATAATATTTGGTGATGGCGATGAAATTGCCATCATGTAGAAATGAATTGTTTATGAATGAGTTATTGCTTTAAACTTTTTTTTTATGATTATAAACGAAAATCGTAGTTTGTATTTAATTTGTACCTGCAAGATCTGGCTCTGGAACCATCGTTCATCTCAATAGAGTCGCAGATGGAAGCGTGCCCGTTACACTTGCAACGAGCACCAACCGACACGTCAGCGATGGCATACCAGTAGGATTGTAACACTTGGGTGTCCCCAAAGATTTCGTCACCAAAAGTATTCAGACGATCCAAGGATATTCGTAAGTCGGTCGCTGTTACCCATTCCTTAAAAAAATAACAATATTTAGAATCTTTGTTTTAGGCGAGAACGGTGGGGCCGACATCATCTCATTAAAATAAACCTTTAATGGTTAAATACATCTAGCTCTGTTTATTTTAAAATAAATACACTATACTATAAAAAAAACAGAAAAGGTTGACCTCTTTGGCCAATGTAACGTATAGTTACCAGAATTCACTAATTCATTCAACTCAACGTCAAAATTTACTGCTGAACATAAGGCTCTCCCATAGAATAAATCATAGAGGGATATCTATCATAGTTCCCATGCTTTGCAGGAGAGTTAGCAACCGCATTTTTATTTTTGTATTTTTGTCAGGTAGATGCTGCTGCTCTTTAGGTTTCCCTACTGTTCATTCTTTTTCTGTCACTTCTTACGTCACCCACGGTCTGATATTACGCAACAAAGATAATTCCATTCTAATACAATACCTGCAACTCCGGACTGCTCTCAAAAGTGTAACCAGAGGGTCTGCCTTCTAAGGTGGAGAAGACCACGTTACCACCGGATAAAGGTGAGATATCGGAGTACTCGCTGGTGCACAGGGCTCTAGTTTCAGCCCCCAAGTCTGCAGCTCGTTGTTCCAATACACCATAGGTGTCGCGACATGAGGCACTGTAAGTTTTATTTTACATTTATAAAATGAAGCAATTTCAACATTTAATATTTTATATCACATCAGTAAAAAATAAAATGACGGATTTGACCTCACGAATACTGCCAACCACAGTTTTTTATCGAGCTGTTACGAGGAAGACGCAAGCTGCTCCTGTTACCTGGTGTGTTTCTCTCTATCGCCTCTTACGACACCCACGGGACGATATCGGGTAGTGAGTATTCTTACACCGTCACTACACGGCATATTCAATCCACACGGAATAATAATATCTAAATAGATACTGAATACTAGAAGCTGTGGTCAGGAGCAGCAACCTATCCCTTTTACTAATAATACGGAATTCTTCATCTTACTCCTTAGTGGTAGTGGTTTATTTTCGCATCCTAACTACTAAACCATTAGGCAATGTGTTTCGTAAAGGTGTCTGCGCGTACGCATGTAGCGTTGACGCTTCTACGCAACAAAATAAAATTGGTATATAAATATAATATAATATACGAGAAAATGTGACCTCTAGGACCAATGTAAAAAAGGATACTTATCGGATTCATTCATCCATTCGTTCACGCATTGCAGTTCATTAAAACTCGTAACTAAGCGCCCGCTGTAAATTTGACAGGACGTGAACAACCTGGGTTCTAGCCCCGCCAGCACTAATGAAATTGTTAATTGCAATTTTAAGTGTTGATTTAGCACATCATCGACTATTATAGAATATTTTAGAGGGGTTTTACTAAAAATAAGAAATTTTATAAATAAAATATATAAATGGCACCTTCTGGAAAAATAAACAAAGGTTTTTAACATAAGTTGGCAAACAGATGCACTTAATTTACAAGGCTAGCTTTTCAACATGCATATATAACTCTTTAGTGAAGATAGCATAGTGTACGAATTAAGTGTGTTAACAAATTACTGTTCATATTCCATAGAGTAATCTATACCTGTAATACTGGTAGGGTTCCCAATCAGAGTCTTCACTCTTCTTCTTGTATATCGCGAAACTTTGTGGTCTCGGTGAATAAAATACGATCCTAATGTATGTTATATCATACGCTTTTCCTATGGACAAAAATTATATATATGTAAATATTATTATCAGTAATGGATAACAAGGGATGTTGGTTTTTATTATGTGATAAATAAGAGTATACAACTTACCTAAATGCAATGTTAAGTTTACTTGATTTGGGTACTGAATACCTTCCTTCATAGTTTCTGACTGCCACCATGTTTGATTATCTTGCTCATAATGCAGATCCGTTAGAAAATAACTCGAAAATTGACCAGCTTGACAGTAGTCACAGGACCTGTGTGGAAAGAAATTATTAACATAAATGTAATTTCATACCAATTAAATACTGTAATATCTAAGTATAAAGCTTTATTGTATATTTAAAGTTAAATTAGTATGTATACATTTGCGCAAAATTTTCTAAACTAAAAACTGTAGTCATATTGCTTTAAGCGGCTTCTGTCTGGCTGATGGTGAACATAATTAAACTTTCATTTTATCTTTTCACGTATTGGTATAATAGAAAATTATATTAATTATATTTTTCATATTATTTTATTAAAAAATATTATAAAATCAATATCAAAATTATTCAAATGTTACAGACCTAACATTAAAATCATATTGTGATTAATTATTGTATACGTACTGCTATAAGTAAATGTAATCTATATCTACACATAAATAAAAATGACTTCGTCTCTTTGTAATATCATAATAAATGCCTTTTATTCTCAAAGGCTTATTTGCAAATAAGTAAGATATGAATTTTTTAATTCTTTGTCTATCTGTCCCGGTGAATCCCGGTGAAGGTGGGAAATTGAAAAACTGATAAAAAAATGGTATTTGATGCTTATCTTAAATCATAAATCTAAACAAAAAGACAGACAGACTTTTAAAAATGGTTATTCGTTTTTAAATAGCGTGCAAATAGCTTAAGAGAAATAGCTAAAGAGCTTAAAAGAAGCCAGTTATCTCTATATTACAGACAGACACTTTAATTTTATTTACATGTATAGATGCTACAAAAACATATTCTTGGTAGGCTTTTTAACAGTGGTAGAGCCACGCGGCAGCCTTTGCTGTCGCACGGATGGGCCGGCTCGAACCGGGGTGGTACCACGACCTCACAGAATACCAGCGTGAAGTAAAGGTTTACCTCTGCGTTTCGCTTGGTGAGTGCAGGTGGCCGGAGGCCCTTTTTACTGAAAATGAGGAATTCCATCTTAGTCCTCACGGGTGACGCATCTGCATTTTGATTCGCAAACGAGGTAGATGTCTATGAGCCGGAGCAACCACTTACCATCAGGTGGACTGTGTGCTCGTTTGACACTCTTATCCTATTAAAAAAAAAGGCTCAAGCTTGATCAATAGATTTTTTTGTGGAATACGAGTATACATAATGTACGAGTACTGTATGAAATAGGCAACAAAATGGATTGTGCTAGTGCATATTGTTATTGAAGTGGTGAGACATTTTCGGAGTCTTTTCAGACTTCTATTATGTTTGAAAATCTTGGCGGTGTAACTCTAGGTTTTTACTATCGACCTTACTGTAAGGAACTGTATGGTTCTCAAGATAAATAAAAGGTAGTGTTCAATCAATTCCGTAGTAGTCACTGCAACTTGACTGTTATTTTTTTATAACACATAACCATACGTTTGATGTATAAAGCAAAATTAGCGTATAATGGATCTTATAGGATTAATTTTCAGTTTGGCGAAATTTTGCCTAAAAGTATTTGATTTTATACAGTAGTCTTAATAAAGGCATTAGTAATCATCATTACAGCCCTTCACAAGTATACTGCTGAACATTTGCCTCCATTATTAGATCCAACAACGCGTTATTGGTAGAGCCATGCTGCAGCTATATTAGTAGTATAGTTGTAGCACGAATGGGTTGGCTCGACCGGGGAGGGACTACTCTCTCACAGAATACCAGCGTAAACTAGCAGCTTACCGCTGCTGTGTTTCGTATGGTGAGTATAGAGAACCGGAAAACCTTTTTACTGGAAATGTGGCATTCCATCTTGGTCCTCACGGATAACAACTCATCTGCATTTTGATTTGTAATCGAGAATAGATGTAGATTTCTATTGGCTGCAGCAACCACTTACCATCAGCTGGACTGTGTGCTCGTTTATCACCCTTATCCTATAAAAAAAAAGACGAAGCCGAAGCGGGTCACTAGTCTCTCATAAATCCAAACCTAAGTGATACTTTAGAAACACGGGGAAGTTTCGGTGTTTGGACATCATATTATACGACTACTTCCGCAAGGTGGCATTGAATATACTATTTCTATATAACAACAACAGGGTACGTGGAAAAGAAGATCGGTCAATGTGGCATACGTTGGTGAAGGACTATGTCTGACAGTGGACTGTTGCCGTGGTGGCCGGTGATGACAAAAATCCACTAGATGAAGTGACGACCTAGACATACAAGAACTCAAAGGATGCCTATGTACTGAAGTGGACTTGTGAAAAGCTGTCGTGGTGACGATGATGATGATAATTTGTTAAATAAAGTGTTCTTACCTCGTCCCGGCGGAACTGCCAGCAGACGTCTGTATGCAGTACATCTTTGGACCGTTGTCACCACACGTGTTGGTAGCTTCCATTTGCACCATAAACGCTGCATTTTCAAATTCAGGGATACACCTCTGAAAATTAAAGGTAAATTATTTACATATGACTTTTTACTATTGCATGCATATTATTCAAAACTTATTCAATCCAAGAAATAATTAAAATTTAGACCTTATATCATCTAATAAGATATTTATACTTCTTTTACTAAATATTTTTATAGTTTTTATTTTAAATAATAATGATACTAATGCTTAAATTATTTTAATACGACACGTGTTTCGCTTCTACACGAGGCATCCTCAGGTGATATAGACTCTACGGTGGCTAACCGCTAAGATAGCTAAGTTGGCGGTGTATTCGTATTGTCGTCAGTGGTGTGCCTTTCCTAGTGTAGTGGTGTTGGGAGTAGTGGTGCTGGGATTAGTGGTGACGGGGATAGTGCACGCAATTGAGGGAGGGCGGGAGGTGCTCTTCAAACTAGGTAAGACACATCATTTTATTTTATCGAGCGGATGTACGAAAAGTAATTTTTTGTCAACTTTAATTAATTACATTATGTGTAGATAGCTCGCTCATACTGGGAATTATAAACATCGAGCACTACTCTAACAAAAAGGTGAGTCGAATTGGTGAGATTCGGGTAGTAAAAACTGTGTAAGAACATCCGAAGGAGGCGGTGTTATAGCCGAAATAAGAATTTTTAATTTTTTGGTTTTTGGTCATTTTTACCCCTTAGGAGTGTAATGAGAACTTTTTGCCCCTATTCAACCATGGCCCATAACATCCTCTACATGATAGGCTATTCAAACTGACTAGGCCTATAGTTCAAGTAACATTTTGGCTAGGGCGTCCCTCCCCGACCCTGCCGTTCACTTCTGCTACATAAATTTGCTTTGTCATTCTTTCCTCGTTCATTCTTTCTACATAACCAAACCACCGAAGCATTCCTTTCTTAATCCTGGTCACAACGTCATCTTGCAAACCATAGTTTTCTCTAATCACACTATTTCTCACCCTGTCATTCAGATTCAGCCCTAGCATACTCTTTAATGATCGCATTTCTACAGCATTTATTCTACTCTCATGCTTCTTCTGCCAGACCCAACTTTCACTACCATACATTAAAGAAGGACTAACACAGCATTATGAATTGCCATACGTGCCTTATTTGACACATTCTGACGCCTATACAAGTAAGTTAGTAATCGAAAAAACATGGTTTTATGTGGTTTATGTTACTATTCATTTAACGAATTTCGGATTTTCCTTTACTTGTACTGTGAGACCTTGCTTTATGTCATATTTCATTATACTACATCGACAGAAAGATTTTGATGAAGTAGTACGCATATATCAAATGACCTTATCTTTTGATTGCATTAAATTAGAAATTTGAAAGTGATAGTAGACCTCAGATATTAGATATTAGTTTCAAATTGATACCTCCTACCCGTTTCTGAGAAAAAGGGTCTAGACAGACGACTGACGGATGGACAAAAAGTGGTCTTATAATGGTTCTGTTTCTCCTTTTGAGGTATCTCATAATCATGAGTAATGTTAAAACAATATACAACAAAATTACAAGATAGATTTGTGAAATTTTCTGTAATGTATAGAATAGAGTAGAATGATTTTTATTAAATATAGATTATTAAATAATGCTTATTGAAAGTCATTTTTTATTTACCACTGGTTTGGAAAATACCCCTGTCCTGAGATTTATTTTTTTAAACATACACATTTCACTTTACAATAAATTTGTACAATTTTTAAATGAATTTTAATAAAACCAGCATGGTGGCAATTATCACATTCCCAGGGATTATTTTCATTTATCTATTCTTTATTATAATAACCCTTTTTGTACGATTTTTCTTTAGTAAAACATTTAAACTTGTTTATTAACAAATTTTGTACGTTTTTTGTTATTTTCTTGTAAAAGCGTATGCATTGCCCCATGAATGAATAACTAATTCTGTGGAGTCTAGTCACTGGTATTACAAAATGTACGTTTGTTCCTAAGTATTTAAAGAATGAACATCTTTATTCTTATTATTCGAAGTAAATACTAGAAAAGAGTTGAGGAGTGACTCGAACTTAAGACCTATTTAGTTTGAATAGCCTATCATGTAGGGGATGTCATGGGGGCCATGATTGAATAGGGGCAAAAAGTTCTCATTAATCTCCTAAGAGGTAAAATGGCCAAAAATTAAAAATTCTTATTTCGGCTATAACTCCGCCTACTTCAATAGTCTATCATGTAGAGGATATAATAGGGGCATGGTTGAATAGGGGCAAAAAGTTCTCATTACACTCTTAGGGGGTCTAAATGGCCAAAAACCAAAACATTAAAAATTCTTATTTCGGCTATAATTTCGCTTCCTTCGGAGGTTCTTACACAGTCTTTACTTTCCCGCATCCCTGTTGTTCTTATCAAAGTAGTTTATGTATACATATATTTATTATACATACATTATATTTTCATAACTATATTGCGATGCCAAAGTTAATATGTTTATTTCTTAATTTTTTCTTGTCTGAAAGACTACAATTTAAGTCATAAATCGCCCGTACGGCTCTTTTTTGCATAACAAATATGGCTACAATATCAGTCGTATTACCCTGTAGCAAAATTCCACAAAACATTATACTATGAAAGTAACTAAAATAAACTAATCTAGCTATCTCAACATTGCTGAGACTTCTAATCTTTCTTACAGAATATGCTGCAGAACTAAGACTGCCTGCTAATTTAGATATGTGGGGTGGGGTATCCACAAGACTTATATCCTCCCAATTTAAGAGCACTTTGGTATTCGAATGTTTAACATTAGGTATTGTAAATTTAATACATTTTGTCTTATTGCCGTTTGAGAGCAAATTGTTGGTATTAAACCAATGTACTAATTTCGATAGAGCATTATTTACATCGGCATAATTAATTTAATGCCGTTTGAGTTTGAAAATTACAGAGGTATCATCAGCAAATAATGCTATATCGTGATTGCACCTTTCAAGATAAGGTACGTCATTAACATAGATTAAGAACAGGAATGGGCCAAGAATCGAGCCCTGAGCCCTGATACTACCAATCCGAATGATTGACAACGTAATGTTGTAGTTTCCTGACCACAATCGAAAGCCCTAGAAAGATCACAAAAATACCTAAGGTATCTTGTGAATTCTCCCAGGCATTGAAAACATATTTAATAAGCTCAACACCTTCATCAGTAGTCGAGCGACCCCTTGTAATACCTAGTCAAGTCATAAGTATTGTCACACCTTGTGGCACCTGACGAACCTTGTGGAACCTGTTTCTCATACCATGTTCAATAACAGGCACTGGGTATTCCAACAAGATTCGGCGCCAGCTCATAGAGCGAAGAGCACACAAGACTGGCTGGCGGCGCGTGAAATCGACTTCATCCAGCACGTAGACTGGCCCTCCTCCAGTCCAGATTTGAATTCGTTAGATTACAAAATATGGCAACACTTGGAGGAAAAGGCGTGCTCAAAGCCTCCTCCCAATTTGGAGTCACTCAAGACATCCTTGATTAAGGCAGCCGCCGTTATTGACATGGACCTCGTTCGTTCTGCGATAGACGACTGGCCGCGCAGATTGAAGGCCTGTATTCAAAATCACGGAGGTCATTTTAAATAAACTTTAGTGTCATAAGAATCTATATTTTGTTAAGTTCATTTTGGTATATAAATGTTTACATAATGAATAAACTTGTTTCAATTATTTTATATTAAACATGTGACAGAATTTATGACCTGACTAGGTATATCTATATTGTCCATAATATATTTTGTGTTAAAGAGTAGAATCCGTTCAGTCGTCGTGATTGAAGGACAAACATACTTTCATATCTTTAATATTAGTAAGATTAAGTCTACAATAAATGAAAGTGACAATACGGAATCATATTTGATACAAGGCTCGTCCCCGATGGTAGTATTGCTGCCAAAATAGTATAGCGTTATATTTAGAGTATGCCTCGTGTATTAGGACGTTGGCATCGCCCGATATTAGCTCACGCTCAGTATTTCTCACTTTCAAATCGATACAAGTTATCCTGCAATTACCTAATTTTTAAACAGCACTACAAAAGGGAAAATAGACAACAAGACTTTCACAATACTTCATTTTTGCATTCATTTATCTAGTGCCCAATCTTCTCCATTGGTTTAGGTGATATTTGCCATAGTTGCCAAGTTTGGCAGTTTTTATTGATGTTATGTCGTGGTGGACTCTGTTACGCTGCCACTAATAGGCGATTCAATTCCGTTCAAGTCATATTATGTCAAAAAAACAATTTTCTATCTAAATTACTTTCAAATAATCTGTTCGTTGAATTTGTTTTAGATACATCAATTTTCGGGTTCAAAAAATCTACAACTGTATATTATTAACATTCCGCTTAATATTTTATAGTAAATAATAAGCTTTTACAAAGTCTATATTTCAACATATATATTTTGTTTTAATAAATTATATTTCAATTTCACTATTCATTTTAGCTCACATTTAAATTCGTACTAAGTTAAAGTGACCATACGACCCGCATTGAGCGAGACAGACCCACAAAATATGTAAAAATATCTCGGTTTTACAAAAAAAAATCATAGACGCATGAAAGCCCTGATGACCATGCCATCATTGTGGGTTTGTGGGTCCGGAAAGCGCGTATAAGTTTAGCTAGCATGGCTTCAAAAGTTACGTTTGCAGTTGTATTAAACATAGAACCAGACTTAGTTAACGTATTGGAGAAATATGTATTTACTTTATGAATACGGCTATAAGTTAAACAAAGTATATTAATATAAAGAAAACTTGTATGAAATTTAAGTCTGCATTCCTACAAAGGTGTAAAGAAGTAAATACAAACGATGTAATATAAGTTAACCTATTGTTGTTACAAATGCCATGCTTTTCTGGGTTTTTTATATTGTAAAAGATACCAAATCCACACGTGTTGTACTTGTAATCATATATCGTATAATGGATAAAAATACTTTATATAATCAAAGAAGAATCAATAATTATTTTTCTTATATATTCATAGAATAATTTATATTTAGGTGCAGTACATCTGCAGTATTTCTTTAAACAGGTTTATAATAAAATTACGAGTCAAATCAATACGCATCAAAAAAAGAAGAAAATATCCAATATTTTCATAATAGAAATTTGCTATTTAATTACTAATAATTACTTTTAAGAGCTTACAAAAATATTATAAAAAAGTTAATTGTGCATTATGTTAAATTTACTTGATAAAAATTTTTACTCATAATGCCAGAAACATCTGATAATAAACCACGAAATTTAAATATTTTGTACTTTATAAGAATATTATGGAATTATCAACCCAAAACTTTGCTTCTTCTATCCTGACAGTTCAACGATCCCCACTATTAAAAACGTTAACGTAACTAAAGTTATTATATAACTTTCTTAGTTTTTATAAAATTGTCACAAATTGCAGAATAACCTTCATGATTTTTCTGCAATTAGTGATTTAAGAACATGTGTTATTGCTTATAAATTAGGTTATAAAGAAAATTATACTGCGTAGTGACCTACTAATAATTATCGCAAGTACTGAGCCTTTAACTGTTATCAGATGAATTAAAAAAGCGACACAAATTTAGATATGATTATGTTAAATATCAACTTATATTTTTGTAATTTTAATTTAATTTCTTTAAGCATTTAAAGTTTCACGTCACACTACCACAACAACCAAAGTATCATCGTCATTATTATTATCACCATGACAACCTTTTACAAGTTCACTGTTGAACATCCCTGCTGAAAGTCCGTGTAGAAGCGGCATAATCCACTCACCAATAACGTCCCATGGTTATAGAAAGATAAGGGAGGTGGTTGACAAGCCGAGTGTTACAACTATGACAGACATCACTCATTCGGTATTTTCGTGGTATTACGTTGAAGATATACCCAATAGAAAGACAAAATGCCCCATTGTTATCAAATGGGATATCTGTTTCCTGTCTCTGCACAACAAGTAGCACAGGACTGCAACGTTAGTTAGATTTTTCTGAAAGCGTGGTCTTTCCGCTCGTGTTGACACGTTTACGAGATACAGTTAACATATGTATTAATTGCACCGTAAGGAAGGATGATGAAACCGAGAATATATATGCATATATATATATATATATATATATATATATATATATATATATATATATATATATATATATATATATATATTCGTGTACCTTTTCGTTCTTTTAAACGTAGGCACTGGATCAAATATAAAGCTTTATAGAATCAACTCTGTACATTAATGGTATTTCCAGCATTCGTTAACAAAATTGAAATTATTAATCTGTTATAATAATTTCCAGAAACAATTTTAATGAACATTTCTGGACCTCCTATAAGAATACTTTGGAGTTTTTCAGGAATAAACAAACAATTGGAGTTTTTCAGGAATAATTCAAAAGCGCGATGTCAAACGTAACGCAGATGAGGGTTAGCTCTAAACTAATGAATGCTTATGAATATCATCGATTTGGGATTGGGCACAAATATTTAGATCGTCTGCATACAAATGCTATAAGCAATCAATTTTAAAAAAAAGTGTTGTATTTTGCTTCACATGAAAATATTAAAGCTCGCAACAATAAAATAAAAACCCCTTTTTAAAATAAAACTAATTTTACGGATTTTATCACGTATATTAATCTATTTTTATATTCCCGACGTTTCGGGTGCTTTCCAGCACCCGTGGTCACGGGGGACTGGAAAGCACCCGAAACGTCGGAAATATAAAAATACATTAATATACGCGATAAAATCCGTAAAATTAGTTTTATTTAAAAATGTGTAGTGTTCGCGTAAATATAAGAAATCATTATAAAAACCTCTCCAAAGCCAAAGAAAAACTATAAAATGAAAAAATCACAAGAAAGTTATCATTGTTGAGTATACTCGTATAATAAGAAATAGGAAAGTATAAACAACACATGTATTATAATTCTTCCGAAACAGTAAAATTTGAAATTTGCTTAAGGACACATGCCTCCAAACTTTAAACAGAAAGAAGCAAAATGGACGATAGGAAGAAAATGATGAAGTGTTAACCATGGTTACTCTTCAGGAAGAGAATTGAAAAATGTGTTTATACAAAGGTATTATTGTCTTTTTACCCATTAAAAGCCAGTAATTGACTAAATTTCGACCCCTGTAGATGCAGAGGTGTAGATGCAGCCCCTGGTATTAAATCGCACAACAAAAGTTTATTCACTTTTGCCATAAAGACACACTTGCCACATTGTAATCGGACGGAAGGACACGCTGTGCGTATCATGTATGGCGAAGCAAGCCGTTTCGTTCGAATACGGAGAAAAGGTTAAAAGTTAAAATTACAGCCTATATACGTCCCACTGTTAGGGACAGGTCTCCTCTCATTTCTGGTAGGATTTTAGGACAAGGAAATGACCGCAGCGCTGCCCTAATGCGTGTTGGCGAACTTCACATGTCTTCGAAATGTTTTTTTCCTCACGATATTTTCTTTCACTGTCGAGCACGTGGTAAATCAGCACTTAAAATTGCAATTAACAATTTCATTGGTGACGGCGAGGATCGAACCCGGGTTGCTTGCGTATTGTGAAATTTATTGCGAATTAGCCCCTGACCTACTACGGCTCAAAATACGAATATCGAAAACAAAAGCTAAAGACCCACACATCGTCTGGAGAAAATTTAAAACATAAGTGACTGTAGACGAGCTTAACTTTGTTTTATTAGATACTAGCTAGTACCCGGCGCGTTGCTACCGTAGAAGAAATAATTGCGGAAATATCATTTTAAATTAGGAAGAGTTATATTGTTTAAATAGGAATGATACATTCATTGAAATTGAATGATACGAGTATATAACTTTGTAATAATTTTTTCGGTACGATACGCGCACCACCAAGTGGAAGTTAATTGTACTATGCCTATAACCTTCGCGCAAGTGCAAGCAATAAGTTGACAATGTTTTACCGCAGTCTGATGTACGGTATAGCAGCGTAAAAATACGAACAAACAAAAATTAATTTTTGTATATTAGATTATGGCCCTATTATCTCATCAGATTTCATAACCAATAATTTTGCCTTTGATGACTATTGAAGTTTATGCTGGTAATAAAGCGAAAAAAAAACAACATTCAGACAGATTTAGGTGGAAATGAGGGATTCATTACAGCAAGAGAAGCAAAATAATGATTCAAAGCATTGAAAGACAAAGAAGAACAACAATACATGATTTATTGATGATTAACTAACACCTATAGTTGTAAGAAAAATCCACACATCAGTTTTGTTACTTATATTTTTAAATAAATATTTGTGGTTACCAGCCAGCAATTTCCTTTTGACTGCACGTTGGTACATTATGAATAACCACTCTTTAATAACTCTTTGATTTTTTGATTAATTAAAGTAGGTATAATTTTTGTCTTGCTTTTGCACCTTGTCAATTATCTAGGGCGCTGGCAAACGTTTTACGTGTTGATATTACGTAGGATAATACACAGGTGGCGACACTATCGCCACCTTACCCCCCCAACCAAAGCTTAACCGTAAGGAGAACCGCGGTGCTGCGAGACGTTTTCTCGTACGAACAGGTCTCGAGGTTCAATGTGCTCAGCATAAGCCCATAACCACCAATAAATAATTGTATAAGAGCGTTTAAATAACAAGACGTTTGACACTGTGATCGCCAATTTAACTTGAAAGCGTGGCGATTAAGACAAATTTTCCCTTTCAAGCAAGAGGCCATGGAAATGCCGACTAATATGGTCTGATTGGACGAAAATTTCATGGGTAATGATCATTATGTCGCAATATAAAATTTCACAAGCTCAAAATTGTAGTAAGCTCTATATATCTGGCCCAGTACAACGGATGCGTAGCGATAAGCTCGTTCCGTTGGCCCCTGATAACAAAACATTACGCTTGAGAGTAAACGAACTCATTTAATGTATTAATGGACTTACAACATTTATTGTCAAGCGATAGATAACCTTACGATAATCTATCTATCTTAGATCAAACAGCTAGCAACGAATTTAATTATAGAAGTAGATCTATTGATAATTCATATAGGTACTTATTTATATTATTATTTATATACATCTATGTATAATAACATATAACTTATTAAAAGCGAAACGTCTTTAGATTAACTTCACACTAGTTATTTGTTGAATTCGTAAGAACTAAGAATAATATTTTTATTCATTCATCACAAGCCTTCAGAGTCTACTGCCGAACATCCTCCCCAAGGAATGTCACAGAAAATGGTCTTAACCCTCTTGCATCGGCAAAATATTCGCAGTAGACTACAGTAATGACATAGCCCAACTGATCAGGGATCCGTTGGGCTATGTCGATTACTCTAGTGGCAATGGGCCAAACATATAGCTCAAAGAACCGGCAACAGATGGGGAACGAAGGTTCTAAAGTGGTATCCTCGTCCCGGTCAGCGCAGTGTAAGACGGCCCCACACTATATAGACTGACGACCTGGTAAGGCGTGCAGGAAAGTTGATAAATAAATAAGAATATATTTTTGGTTTTAATTAAATATTTTCCTCAGAAAAAAGGTGATAAGGCGTACAATTATTTAACAATAATATTGGTCCTAAATTAAAAATTAACAAAAGTTATTTTAGATAATATAGTACAAATAATAAAAATACATTTCATCACATAGAACCGAGATAAGTTTTGTTTAACAGATGGGAAAGACACGAAATGTAGAGAACTTATACTTGTCAAATTAGGCACTAACAAAAACTTTTGAAAGCTCCAGATAAAATATTTAGACTCACTTGCGGCTGTCCATCGGCATTATAACAAGTTGCTAAGTCCTGTGATCCGATCCTTGGCGTGTGGTAATAATCCTGTGCAGACGCAATAGCCATAAACGTTAGAAAATGTGTGTAAATGAGAGGCCGCGCCATTTTGTAAGAGCGCGTGGAGCCCGCGTCGACGCGCCTGCTGGTCGACCGAGCACTGACGCTCATCGCGTTTCACAACACTACGCCAAAGATCAGTAAATACTCATTCAGACCACCCAGATTTGCCCTTTTAAAGATTTGGTGTAAAATTGCCTAGCCTCACAGAGGGCGCACGTACTTATTCAAACATTTGTTGTGACATACCTTAAGTTAATAGAGTATAAGTGCTCAGCATTCATAATGTTCATAATTTAATAATTGGTGATCAACAGACTACTAATTTTTTAGCTTTCTTAACCGATATTTCCTAATTCCGATTATATATGACATAGGTAATCAATGGTTGTAGGTGACTTTTAAATATGCTTTGTGCTAGTGTGCGTGGCCTATATTGTCAATGGATTATGACTGTCACCATGTATTGGCGGTGTAAGAATATCCACTACCCCATATCGTCCCGTAGGTATCGCACGAGGTGACAGAGGTGACAGAGGGAAATGGAAATAGTGATGGGCAGCAGAATTTCACTGATAAAAACTCAAAACAAAAAAATACAAATACTTCAATTGACAACCCGCTCGCCAAGCCAAACTACGCCAACTATGGCAAAATCCTCCCTATCCCTCCTATGAGGTAGTATATGGAAGAGGCCTCTGTTCAGCAATGGACTTTTATACGCTGTAATGGATGGACTAAGACGGGTTTTATGGGTTGCCCCCGTCCATTATCAAATATAGTATGTACTTTATACTGTCGTATTACAGTTACAAACGTACCAGAAAATACTTTATTTTAACGATAATGTAGTGTCATTTCTGATATTCATTCACTCAATTCAAGCATTTACTGTGAAAGCTTTCTTCAGATAAATGCTCTAACGGGATGAAAGAAACAGTGTGTTCTGAAACGAAATGAATCATACATAACGTATTAAAATGAATTATATCTTAAATTAGACAGAATTTTAGGCTGCTGTTAAAGTGTTCATCAATAACGATTATTTTTTATATTAAAATAAAAAAGTACATACGTGCAAAAACACACATCAAATATATTGTAGTACTTTATTTTTCACATTGTGCTTTATTTTTATATCTTAGAAAAGTAAAAATACATTATTTACTCAAAAAAGGTGGCAAATCTAATTACGATGGCAATATTAATCATGATAAGAGTGCTTTGCGTCTTCTTGATTGTCCCTGTTGTTTTGACGCATAAAATCTATTTAGTATAAAATAGCGATCCGCCCCTGGCTTCCTATGGGTGATTTCTCGATTTTGACAACAGCACCATCTACCGTGTCCAATTGTAAATCTAAATTATCCAGGGACTTAATCAAACACACACATACACAAAAATCCATCAAAATCGGTCGGGGCGTTCTAAAATTTTCATTCATGCGGCAATTGATTTTTATTTATATAGATAAATCTAAAACCTAACCTAACATTAAGGACGCCTTTTTTAACTTCATCTAGAGATACAATACACTTATTTATCCCGGTTGGCTTTTGTTACAAATATTATTTTTTACCTAAAATATTTTTACTTAATTTTCGTAGCTACCTTAAATAAGTTTTATTCTTTGCTTTACTGGCAGTACGCATTTCTAAGCGCGGCGCGGTGGCCTCATAGCGACCGTTTTTGTGAACGAACCTGAAAAGGTCTGAGCTTTTGTTCCCCACCAGAATGCCTTTATCAACGGTGTGGTTATTAAGCGTAAAAATTTTGTAGAAACACAATACAAAACTATTTAATGGGGTTGTAACTCAGTTATTACTTCATTAAAAGCAAATCCAAGACTTATTTTAAAGTAAATTAAACAGTGTTACCAATAATAAACTTCATCTCATTTAAATATTTTCTAATTCATAGACTAATGAACTAATAACATTATTATTACAGTTTAGTGTTAGATTATATTTCTTAAAATTTAGCACAATTCTTTATTTTCTCTGACTACTATCATGCCCACTCAAACACAGTCGGTGCAAAGCTGACGCAGACGAGTGCATTAGGTCATTCGATAGCGACATCTCGCTTTCTCACCGGGCTCTATCTCATTCACCGCAGGAGCTCCGATTCCAGGAAATTGTAACATAACATTCATTAACTTGGTTCCCTATCATACACTTAACAAAGTTAAGCGGTATATGAATAAAAATCTTAAAAGTACTGTACATTAAAAATATTTAATGCAGTGACATTATCTAAAAATTGTCTTCGAATTATTTATTTTTCTTTCTTAGACATGCAGATTTCCTTCTGATGTTTTCTTTCACCGCTGAGTAGGTACTTGGTAAATCAGTATTTAAAACTGTAATTATAGGGCAAATATCAAACCCGACCCGGGTTTGATATTCGCTCTTGTACTATAATATTTACGACAACCGCTCTATGCCACTGATCTATCACGGCACTTGGACTAATTGGACTTTTGAAAGTATAATAATACAAAATTCACTATTGACGACGCGCGTTTGTATCGTCGATAATAAATCTCCGTCTGAAACCATGTGTTCTTAAAACTTGATGTATGTAGTATGTCCTGTGATAAAAATAACATAAAACAAAATTAAGCTTATAACAAAATTTAATTATCTGTGGTACCGCGACTTCCGCTCTACATAATCAGCTCACTTTGAGGGGATTGCGTTACAATTTGATTTAGATTTTAACTAACTTTATTTTAATTAATTTTGCCTTAATATATTTATTTAAAAGTAAAGACTAAAGAACAAAAGTTTTACTTTAATGTTGACTAAACTATCTAGAAATTATTTAAGTAGAGCTATAGCTCTACCATACTTCATAACATTGTCAAATTATCATTTTTTAATAAAGACTAAAAGTAATATAATGTACACTTATTACATCATACCCATTTACAATTGTTTGCAAATAATTTTCTTAAATGAATATTAATTAGCCAGAATATTGCGATTTTTAAAACCAAAACATCATATTAACATGATTAGGAAATTTGTATTTTTGAGTTTTTGTTTGATCTACAAGAAATATACTTCCATTTATTTAAAAGTGTACATGTGGCCGGCATCTGTTCGAATTTTAAGCTTATGATGATTTAGTTGTAGAACTCATACTGTGCAAATATCACAAAGAACATCGGTAACGATTTTCATAGTACTTTTTGGGATTCTACATCTTTAAAGGAATAAATTTACAGGATCACTTTTGCTGTCCATCTTTCCGGTTGTCTTCGCCTTTTCACCAGGATCGGATAAAGGTATTAAAAATTAATATCTCATACTAATGTCTGCGGTCCCTTGGAGGTGTAAAAAATTTCAAGCGTCCAAAAATTCAACGCAATTAAAAGATACTGCCATTTATGTCACATAATATTATGATACTGGTAAACTCACTCGTCAAAATATATAGGGCATTTCCTGTTGACCTAGAATCATGAAATTTGGCTAAAAGCAAGGTTTCATAGGACGAATATAGGAGAAACGTTAGTTTGTAATTTCACACAAAACATATTTATCCGCGACTAGCGATCCGCCCCGGCTTCGCACATTTCTGTATATCAACAACAGCGCCACCTACCGCATCCAATTGTAAGTCTAAACCATCCAAGGACCCAAACACACAAAAAATTTCTAACGGATAGCAATTGATTTTTATATATAGAGAATACAAATTAGAGAATCTACTGTGATCTAGAGCGATTTATAAGTTTTTTTTTCGCTACAAAATGAAGTTTTTCATTCAATCAGACTTACCTATTCGTAAGAGCAATGTATACCTAACAACACTAAGTAAATTAAATATGGTTCCTTTGGTATTTTAACCTCTTGTAGTTTTGTAAAATATGATACTGTCAACTATGTGTAACAGTAATTGTTCCTATCAACAAAAATGCGCTAAATATAATGCATGTACCTAATAGAAATACGAATCCACAAATACCCATAAAATTACAAAAACAAATCTAATTATAAAAACACGCTCAACTCAACCTTATTTCAATCAAAGTAATAAGACTATAGTGTAGTATTTGAAATGAGTATATCTGCAGCAGAACATAAGCTAACGGATCTGTAAGCTGAAGTGGCAATGGGCCGACCATACAACCGACAACCGATGAGGAAGCAAGTTTCTCCAGTGGACAACCTTGTAAGCAAACTGTAGGGTTGCCCCCTATTAGATAGAGTGACGAGCTGGTAAGATATGTAGGAAGTCGTGGATGCAAGTGACTCAGGGCCGCGTTTTGTGGTAGCAGTTTATGTCCAGCGGTAGACTTGTGAAGGAGTGTTATGATGGTGATGATGATAAATAAAATTATCAATGGCACTCGTATAGTGGTAGGCAATAAACCATATGATTAATTGTCAAAAATATAAGTCCTATGTTAATAGTAAAAGTTGAGTAAGATAAGAACTCATTTTTGCCTAGTGCATATCGTAGATTATTTATGTAAAATAAAATTAGTTGTATGTTGAGAGTAAAAAGAAATTAAAAGGTTATCGAGTGGCGACCTCGTATCGGCGGACGAAGTGTAGGGCGTCCCCCCACTAGATGGAGTGACGACCTGGTAAGACATGCAGGAAGTCGATGGATGCATTCGGCTCAGGACCGTGCTTTTTGGAATTCCTTGTTGGACGCCTATGTTCAGCAGTGGACTTATGAAAGGATCTAATGAATGAGAGTAAAAATTAAGTAAGATAAGAATTCATTTTTGTTAAGTGCATATTGTAGATTAGTTGTGTAAAATAAAATGAGTCCTAATTTAATAGTAAAAATTAAGTAAGATGAGAATTCATTTTTGTTAAGTGCATATTGTAGATTAGTTGTGTAAAATAAAATGAGTCCTATTTTAATAGTAAAAATTAAGTAAGATGAGAATTCATTTTTGTTAAGTGCATATTGTAGATTAGTTGTGTAAAATAAAATGAGTCCTATTTTAATAGTAAAAATTAAGTAAGATGAGAATTCATTTTTGTTAAGTGCATATTGTAGATTAGTTGTGTAAAATAAAATGA